AACAGGGTATGGAAAGATGTAGTGGTATACTTACAGATCCACATGTCACCAGCTTAGATGGTGGCTCAAACTGATGGATGAACTCTTGGGAGAGGAATAAAGTTTGCTGAATATACCTAGATAACATAAACATGTTTTATTTCTTTAGATAACTCAATAGTACAACATATGAGTGATGGGGTAAAATAGAAAATGGAAAGAAAATTCTTCTGGGTATTTGTACTACCTAGATTTGATTTTGAACTCAATCCCCACATGCTTGCTAGATGGTCTGTCTTAGTTTGTGTCTGAATGACCTTTGAAGGCTTAAATATCCTGGACCCTTTTGAATCAAGTTTGGGGCTGCAATTCTCCCTCTCTGGAGGAAAAATAACTTCAGAGAGAGCTGGAACAGAAGAAGGATTTGTTACGGTTTGTAGATTGAGTGATTTATCCAGTTTGGAAACAGCGACAAAAATTCCTGTTTCCATAGAATAAGTCTGAATGGTGGAGAAAATTAGCCAACTTTTTTCAATAAAGTTTCTTTTTCCCCTTAATTACTATTATTGACAGCTCAGCCCCATCACTCGACTACACTGAGGAGATTAACTTTTTTTTCCCCTTACAAAGTACTTTTTAACAATACTTATTAATTTTGCCGGAGGAGTGGTCCAAGTAACTGGAGTGTTCTCCTGTTCTGTCCTCCCACACACAACTCAATCTTCCTCTGCGCTTGCTGAGGAACAGCAGCCTCCTCTTTCATACGTCTGTGCTATAAGTGGAAGGAGGATTTGACTTGAAGGGACACTGACAACTGGTTTAAAATCTTGAGTTAATTTGTTGTCAAAGTAATTTTTTTTAATACAATTTGGGGGGTTTCTTTTGAGTGATGAGAGAGTGAAAGATCTGTAAATGAAGGAGAATTAATTATTCCCAGCCATTACTGAAAATCCAAACACAACCAGGTTGTGTTGCAGCTGATGCAATTGATTTTAAACAAAAGTGAACCTGACCATTCGTGTTTCATTGTCTCCTCCGTGGTGCTGACAGCAGCCCTTCTCTGAGGCGCACTGCCTTCTCTAAACTTCACTTCTCATTCGACAGAATTTAGTATTAATCTGGCCACTTTTAGAGAAAGCTAAAAGATAACCCTATTTGCTCAGACTGTCTCAGCTGATTAAGTCTTGTTTCCCAGCTGATTGGGAAGATATATAGGGGTGACAAGCTCTTGTCTAGCAGAGATCTTCATGTTTAAAGCTTTAAATTCTCAGCTTCTTTTACCACTCCTGTTTCTCCCTTTAAGGAGGCACAACTTAACCAAACCCGAAATTTAGGAAGAGAAAGCTCCAACTTCTGTCTTCCCAAAAGCCTTTCTATAACATTTCTGGCACTTCTTTCTTAATCTGCCACTTGACATTATTCCTTTCCTGCTAAAAGATGTTGGGCTATAACTTTTGTTGTTGCTTGTTTTTAATGAAAAACATACTATTAGATCCATTTGCATAGAAAAACAACACAGCAGTAAAGACGGGGTAGGGGGTTGCTAAATGCTGATGATAGCTGAGGCATATTAACCAAGAATAAATGTGCTGCTCTACTCTCTGGCTTTGAAATCACCGCTAAAAGGCTTCAAACTCTTTCTCTCACAGCCCATAACATACACAGAGTGGTGCAGAGAAATGTAATGTACTCCACCTCAGCTCTTCCCTGCCTCCGAAGCTGCATTAGGAATGATTGTGTGAAACCAAGTCAGAGTTATTCTGTTAACAGAAAAAAGAAAAAAAGATGGCTAAATGAAATGTCTCCTGCCATGTGTTTCTAGCCCCAGAGTCCCTTCAAACCGCAGAGAGACACAAAACCTCCATTCAGGGGGATGCCTGTGGCTTCAAGGTGGACAGTGGAGGAGATAGGGAAGTGGAGGAGCACAAGCCAGCAGTGGAGTGGGATGCATGGGGTATGCAACCCCCCGTCTTGGTAACCCTAGCAACATGTTTGCCATTTCAACATTTGAGAGAGAAAACAATGGTTAAGAGATACTGTCCAAGGCCACTGAAAAGCAGTCAGAGCTATTTAGAAGTCTAGAGGTGGGCTAATTTGAGTTTATGGTACATTGCTGGCATAACACCTAATTCAGTGGCCGTAAAAAGAGCCCAAAAACATCTTGGAACCTGCACTGGGGCACCACTTGCCCCAGAGACAGAAGTGACAGCTAAGCTACCCACGTAAGACACTACTCACAAGCAGAAACAATCAGCCTGGGTAAAGTATTTCACAAAACAGTTTCCATCAGGTGCCAGCAGCTTTTTAAATATTAACCAGATCTGCTGGCTGCCTCTCTGGGATTACCGTCTCTGACACTGGTGATCCCAGTGCGTCAGTGTAATTTAGCAGCCAAACCCTGGCTCCCAGCGAGCAGCTTGCAGATGTGGATTTTAATTAAAAATATTTAATTTTCAGCTCTCACTTCCATTTGCTTTACCTGGCATTACGGTTTGTGGTGCTCATCACACAGACCGCTGAAATGCTCCTCCAAGGAAAACTCAAGCAGGTTCCTCCGCCTATGGCAGCTCCATCGAATGGCCCCGTTGAGCCTTGTTTTGTGTTCAGCCATAACAACCAAAATAGATAGCTAAAGAAAAAACAAACTACATTAGTGGCCCAGGACCTACCTTGTACCAGAGCAATTCACTCAGAGATTAGCCATATGGAAAGCATACCTTTCTGGCTCCTCCAAGACACATCCCTGGAGAACTTGTTTATTGTTTTTCCTCCACAAGAGACTTTAAACAATGGGCATTGCTCAAATCTAGGAGAGAAAAAAGCTAAGTTTAAATTGGCACCTCGGGGTTGTAGCATACAGTGTTTGACAACTAGCTCCAGAGCCCAGGTGATAGCGTGTCCCTGTTCATTGAGATGAGGTGCTGCATTCCCAGAGCTCCTGCAGCCTCATAGGCTGCACCTCATATGGTCCTTACATAGTTCCTTCATTGTGCTATTTTCCTCAGGAAAAAGGTTAAGACCATTCTCCATTGAAAAGATGCTGTTTCATTTTTGATTAGTCACCACTTAATTTACCTCATTTCATTTCATTCATAAAGCTTTAGCTTTATGCAAAATTTTCACTAACAGTTTTCTACATCTGCAAGTGCACTCAGTGAATCCCTCATCAAACACAGTTGGAATAGGCTCGAGTGCAGGTCCTACTCATAAAACAGGTTCTACCTTTCTCCTCTGACTGCACCTTTCAAACAGCACACACAACATTCCTCCATAGACAGACACTTCTGAACTCAGCAGATAATTTGGAGTAATTTGCACGTCATGGTTAGTAAATACCTGAAAAAAAAATATTTAGGGATTACCATTAAGGTCTCATGTTGTTAGGGAATGTGGAAATACATTTTCCTTATGTGGAAAAACAGAGCAGAAAGCAAGAAAATAACCCAAGGACAAAAGAAGTGTCACTACGCTAAATATCCAAATCACTGAATTTTGAGGTGTTGCTAATTATTACTAATTTTGATTGAAAATATTGACTATGAAGGATGTTTTGAAAACTTATTTGTCTTTTTATGTCCTGTTTTATTTCCAGTGAGGAGGTTCATACTTCTCCAGTGCTTTTGGGAACAGAAATAAAGAGTCCTACATTCTCTAAAGGAACTCCTATTAAAGGACATGAAAAAGTCAGTGACCACAGTGGCAGTGAAAACTAATCCACAAAGAACTGTTTGGGGGAAGGACAGTACATGGTTGTATAGCACCTGATGCAAGGGAGGCATGACATATGACCCTTATCACAAATGGAAAAATAAACATCAACAAGACAGATTGAAGAACACATCAGAAAGGGTAAAAATAAAGTTAAAAATAATCACTGATAACATTTAGCCTGGAGTGCTTTTTGCTTTGTTATTTTATATTGACAATCCCACCTAGAAATGGGTCTCTAAGACTTTTTGACTTATAGACAACCCAGTTTGCTCTACAGACCCCAGTATATCCATTGTCACCCATGGGAGGGCCCCAGGGTCTTTGCTGTGCTGCATCTTTGGGGACGTATCAAATGGCTCCTAGACGAGAACAGAACCAGACATTTTCCAACCAAATACCTCTCAGGTCACTGAGCAATGCTCTGGTGGCTCTGCCTCGCCAGCAAATGCCCATGTTGAGGCACATCAATAAGCAGCTTTGCCTGAGGAACTTTCCTCCTTTGGGGTTTCTGTGCTGATGGCAGAAGGAGATGTATGCCCTTGCCTCGGCCAGAGCCATGCATGGGCTGGCTGAAACCACTGACACAGGGTGGGAGCTGAGATCCCAACCTGTGAATGTGGTCATTGGCAGAGGCTTTGATCCACCAGAACCACTGGTGAGGAAGGAAAAGTGAGCAGAGATGTACCTGGCTGAGGAAGAGCAAACAAGGAAGTGCACAAGCCCCTCGCTAATTGCCACAGCTCCTCAATCATTGCTGCTGAATGCTACCAGCCCCTGCAGAGCAGGAATGCAAGAGGACTCCGAGTGGAAGAGTTTCAAGCTGGTCTTTAGGGTGAATTGCATCAGCCTGTTGCTGCACTGAAGTCCCAGACACCAGAACCCCCATGCCAAAAAAAGCCAAAACAAACCCTAGTCTCTCATTGTAACAACTTACAGCCTTGGGACATATAATTATTCATTCAGATGAGGCTTCATGTCAAGAGCTACTGCTTTACAAGACTATCGGGTACTGCTGCAGATGACTGCTACAGCAAGGATGATCTCTCAAGATCACCTGGTGAGTGCTGCTGCAGGATCCAGAGCACAGATGCTTCATCACTGTGCTGCTGGCTGTCATGTTGAAGGATAGTAAAATAATATCAGGTACTTGTTTCTACTCTATGGAAATAAGCTGTATTACCTCTACAGGGGTCAATTCTACAGCTAAATCACACTGCATAAATACATGCAGAGCGAGCGACTCTTAAGAGTCCCCAGGAAAGAGCAGCCATGTTTTACAGGGCACCAAACCTCGTCTGCAGCCATCTCACCTGACAGACTGAGCAGTGGAAACCACACCATGCCTGTGCTCCACACTAGGAGATCACAGACAGACCCTCTAACAACCACTGCTGGCTTTTCTTTGTGTCCTGGAAAATCCACCAACAGTGACTGGTGGATTGGAATTGCTACACTGGGTGGGCAAAGCTAAACAAGGGATACTGTGGATATCAGGCAGTTTTCCCATCCCTTCTAAGCAACTCCAGGACTTAAGTAGATTCTGAGCAAAGATGTAGTGTCCAAGTCCGTCTGCATGAAAGTCTCCAGGCCAGTTTTCAAGGCTTTTTGAAGTACTGAAAGAGAAGTATATCGAAGTGGCAGACATTGACAATCATCTCAGAGCAAGAACATTCCCTTTCTACTTATCTCCTGCCTGCCCCACCACAGCCAACAGTTTCAACATCCCTCCTTCCTCACCAGCTATGCAATGAGTAGCATATCTTGTTCCCAGAAACCCCAGACAGGGGCAGATCCAAATCTTTGTCCAAAGCCAGGCGATTTCTCCTTCCCCAGTCAGAAATGGCATGACTTTAATATGGTCATGATGTTCTGCATTAAACTTGCTCTCCAAACAAGGACCAATCTGTCATTAGACAGAAATGGAAAAGGGTCAACCTTTCCTGCCCCTTCTGCAGATAATTCCCCCTTTCAGGAGGAAAAGGCTTGAAAGCTGCAGTTATCGAAGACTGCTTTCCACAAAAAGCAACACCTCCAAAACTAGACTCCTTTTTTAGGCTATGAACAAGTCCTTGGTGTTTTGACCAGGCCACTTCTTCAGTACAGCTTTTGTCCTCAAGAAAATAAATAAATAAAAATAAAAATAAAATAAATTTAAAAAAAAAAGGAAAAATCTGCTTTTTTTTTTTTTGAAAGTTCTGCACATACTTTATGCCCCCTCTTTCTTTTTTCTTTTTTTATTTTGTTTTTCCCCCTTCTTACATTCACACAAGCAAAACAACAAGAGGGTCCTCTGATGAATGTGGCGGATCGCCATGGTTACGGTTCAGAGATGCAGCAAAAAGCAATTATGGTGGGACATAGTGGAGGAAAAAAAAAAAAAAAGGGAAAAGAAAAGCCCAACAGAGAAATGCACCTCTTTGTCAGAATTTCAGAACAGCTGTAATAACACTTCTGCACCCCAACCAGTGGAAAGTAACTGAAATATTGTGGCATGTTAAATGCCAACGCATTAAATACCAGGATTTCAATGTCACATTATTTAAAAAGACAGGAAGCATTAATTTCCAGCTGCACTTTCAGCTTGTTAAGTCATCTAGGGGGAATAGGGAAAAAGGAGCAAGTCCATGGCACGGGGCCTCACATTTTGAGGTGTGAAATAAAACACTGTTCAGCGAGGCAGTGGAATGCACTTGTAACAGATTTAATCTGACAGCAGCTGCGGTTTCCTATTTAAGCTTTGTGTGATTTATTTTTCCCCTTGGTGTTGGAGCTCCTGAAAGAGATGGCAACGCTCTCCTGACCTTTCCCAATCTGAGGATCTCAAAGTGCTTTACCCCTGTGCATTCATTTTCACAGCCTACAATGGGTGAGGGAGGTGGGATGTCACTGTCCTCACAGAGTAGGTGACACTCGCTCAGGTCTGATCTTCCTAGCCCCAGGATCACAGGTGGGATGTCTCGGTTTGGGCCTCTGCAATGGCTGGGAGAAGCAGGAAATTCCCATTTTACATGCTCTTATTTTAAGATTATATCAAAAATAAAAGCTGGATATCACAGGCTGGGATTATCTGTGAAGCTCATGTATGTCCCTAACCCTTATTCCCATGCAGCTAGCAGAAGAATAGGGCTCACCTCTGCTCTTTCTTCTTTGTATTTAATCTTGAGGGTTTCTATCATCAGCCTTGCAGATCTATATTTGGTGACAACGGCAGCATAAAGTATCTCTCTTCCTTCTCATACTTGTTGCATACTGCAGCCCCCAGCTGCGTTCTTGTCTTCCAGGCTATGAATCATATCAGGAACGAGATCCTGCTGAATTTTAACCCATGGAAAGAAGTAGAAAGTGAGAAATTACTGAAAAGGATCTGTTTCTCACCTTGTTCACCAAGAGGTACTGGAAATTGTAGTGCAAAAGGCCAAAGGCAAACTGTGAAAAGGTATAAAGGGTGATGTGCATGGTACACTCTAGATCCGACAAAAATAAGAAGGGTGGGCAGAGCAATACAATGACAAATAGACAAAACAGCCCAAACAGGACAAAGATTAACCACTTCACAGATTATTTACCTCTTTTCTGAACACTTCGCTCCAGTTAATGCTTCCTGTCTCTTCACCGAAAAGAGCTCTCAGATTACACATCCCAGTTCCAGGTTTCCTCCATCTGGTCACAAGAGCAAGCTGCTCCATCCAGCCATCATTGACTCACTGATGGGCTGAGAGAAAAAATTACATTTCCCAATTGGAGCAATGGCCAATTATTCCTTTCTTCTTTTTTCCTATATTATACCCAGCAAAATCAAAGCTCCAGGCTGCTTCCTCAAGCAAAAGAAATCTGATAAAACCTATGTATGAAAAGATGCTAAATTTGAAGGAAAATGAAGTATTGCCAAGTCTTGTGGTTACATATCACAAGACTTACGATATTTTTTTCCTTAGCACTGGCTTCTAAAAGCAAAAAACAGTATGAATATCTTAGTATGGGAACAGAGGAGAAATCGTGAAAAATAGAATTGAAGGGACTGCTAAAGGTTTAGCAGTGAAACAGAGCCTAAAAAAAAACCCCACAGAGCTTTAAATTCTTTTGCTTTTTTAAAATAATACATGATTTAGAAAAACCTGTTGCAATCTATGTTGAGAAGGACTGAGTAGTGGGGTTTAAGTAAGTACTGTCATGGGAGAAATGCTCTATGGAATGAAACCATGACCTAATGTTGCAGGTTGTGCCTTTAATGACAGCAACAGCAGAAGTCTCAAGAGCTAAACCAAACCCCAAAATGAACTCTCCTCTAAATCCAACAGCTGGATGCACAGGGAGGTTGTGGTTTCTCAGAGTACTCCTCTGCTAATACATCTTCAAGGCTTGTATTCTTTCAGCACTGGGAATGTAAACCTGAAAAGAAACAATAAAATGAACCTCTGGTTTACATTTGTACAGAAAAAAAAAAATTAAGACAGCCTCAGTTTCCCTAAGCAATTTGATGAAATGTGGTGTTTGAACCCATTAAAACATTTTCCTCTATTAAAAATTGAAAAGATGATCAAAGTGACATTGGAGACTGTTTTCCAATTAAATTAAATTTTGGCCCAGAGCAGCTTCTTTTGATAAACTCTCAGAGGAATTATCAGAAACCCAACACCTCAGGGAGGCTGGTTTAGCTTTTCCATTGTTAATTCATACCTTTAGAGATGTGGTTTCCATCATCTTTTCTCCCATATTATGAGCAGTTCCCAAGTGAGAGGTAACCAGCCTAATCAATGGGGCAAGCTGGATGACTATCACCAAGCCTGGGGTTCCACCAAGACTGTGGTACCTTGTCAGTGAGCATCAGAGCCAAAGCCAACTGATGAGGTACCAAGCCAGAAAGGTGGAAAGGTGGGTGAAAGAAGCTCAGCTCAAGCTGGGTGAAAGCAGAAGGTGTTTGCAGAATGTGTCAAGTGCTCAGAAGAAAGGTCAGAAGTACAAGCTAGTTTAGAAACTTTAAAATCCATCTCTCCTTCCAAAACAGATTAGAGATACTAAAGACTGGAAACCTCACAAGTGAGCAATTTAGGAAACTCTTGTTTTGAGCATGGTTGTACTTCAGCTCAGCCCCTGAGCCAACTATGGAGGAAAAGGATCATCAAGCTGAACAAAAGCCACGTTGCAGCAGCAGAGCTCTAAAAGGTGCTAAATTACCCCAAATAAATAGGATCTAGAAGTACACAAAGCCATTTCTAATCAAATAGTGTCTAAATTGATAACTCACTAGAGATGGACTCTGGAGATGGAAAGCAGATCAAAACAACCAAAAGTGCCACAACCCTCTGCAGCAGCGAGTACCGTTGTCAAGGCATGCTTTGTGCTATCTGCGCTTGGCATTTATATGAGAGAGAGATAAAAGAAGGAGTTTTAAAACAAAGGCTTCATTGCAGATTGCTCCTTTCTCATTGCTTTATTATTTGCTCTATGCACATGTCAGATAAGTGGACTTGTGAACAGCTTTAATTAGAAATGCAGATTACATTGGGCCAGAATACAGTGGACACTTTCTCTCCAGCAATCCTGCTGGGAATAGACATGGCCAGTTTCCTAAGAAAAACTGAAAGTCAAAGTTAGCTTCATTTTCAGGCTATACAGTGGGTGCAGTTGCTGTGCCCAGTTCATAAATCTAGCAGCTGTGAGTAATTCCTCATTCTTAAAGAATCTAATGCAAGAAAAGAACTGTGCTTCCAGTAGAAATGCCCACTAAGAGGGACATGAACCTTCTGGTTGCTTTATCCCTAGGTAGGATTAGACCTGATCAATGCTGAACTGGAGAGCTGCAACCAGAAAACCAGTGTGCTGTCTCAGACCTAACAACAGGCTTGAATACCTGAAAGCTTGTCTCCCCACCCACAACTGAGATTAGTTTATCAAATAAAAGATATTAGCTTTGTCCACACCCCTTGGCTTACTTGGCTTACTAACACTCCTCCTATGAGTGGGACTCTTCCTTCTGAGCATGAAAAGGGTAAGCACTACTATACAGAAGCAGGGCTGCAAGTTGTAGGAAGAAATGGCCGTTTTAATTCCTAATGACAATTTTAATTCCTAATGGCCATTTGAAGTTTTGCAGGGGAGTTCTCTGAGATTGGCCCATAGCTTCTTTTGACTTTAGCAGTGCTTAAAATCCACATTGTATTACTGAAGAGATCTGATGATCAGATGCCTGTTTCCCCAGCTGCTGCTTTGCAATCATTATCAGGTTCTGAAGCAAGCAACAGTGGACAAAAGGGATGAAAAGAAATTGTCTGATTCCATGATACATACATCATGACACAGTGCACTCACCTGCAGAATAGAAACTGCTCCAGTCAAAGTGAGGTTCACATACTTCAAGGCAGAAGCTGCTTGCTATTTCACTCCCATGCATCATGTGGCAGAGCTGAAAGGTGGGACCACACCACAGTAGAGTCCTATGTTAATCTGAAGACTGAACCTGGGAAGAGAGCCCTAACAAAGAAGCTGTAGAAATGGTATGCCTAAAAGAAAAGGTTGTTTGGAATGACTGGCTGTGGATATGGATTTGGGGGATATTTTTGCTTTTGTTTTTTATTAATTGTTGTGACTTTGTTGTATTTACTAAAGCAAGTTAAACATTTCCTTATGATAAAGAGAAAAATAATGCAACTGGTTTTAAATAAACCACTGAACATTTCAAGCTGAAGGGAGCTATGGATGCACATCCAAATAGTCTGCAAAGGCTATTGTGAAGATCAGGCTCATTCTCACAGGTCCATATATATACAGGAATCCTCATTTCCACTAGTAATGTTTTATGTGCCTGTAGTTGAAAAAAAAAGGTCAGCAATCTGCTCAAAATGATGGTATCATGGTTACAGCACTGGGCTGACTGTCAGGAGGCTACAACTCGATCTCTATGCATGTCACAGCCCTCTTGCATGACCACAGGCAAGTTGGTCTGACTGGGTTCACGAGGGGATAACCCTGCTACATAAGCACCTCTTCAGACAGATATCACAGCCTACAGTGAGCTCCCACAGCACAAGTGTACATAACAATCTGATGTTCTCAGGTAAAGCTGAAAGTCAGGTGAGAGTTGCTGTCCTGATCTAATTTTATATATAATTTTGCAGGCACAAATCAGAGCACAACTCTCAAGTGTTTTAAATGCAGTGGACTAAATTTCAGACTTAAACCTAATCAGTCACACCTTGTAAATGCTTCATTCTAAGTAGCATCAGTGGAAGAACTGTCAGGTATACAGAGGACGAGGAGGGAATTAGCAGATCATTTCAGAATGGGAAAGAAAACTGCTTGACAGAGCTCGACAGAGCTCAACAGTCCAGAATGTTCTTCATGATTCAAAACATATCTCCTTCCATAATGTTTTGAGGAGATTTCCAACTTTAAAACTTTCCTCATTTATTTACTTACTACATTTTGTTGTCCAGGAAGGTCTGTTGAGAGGACGCATTTGCTCCAGACGGGTATGGAAAGGAAAGGACAGACCAGGAGAAGGGAATGCAATGAGCACTGGAAATGCACAGACATGATATTGAAATGCTGACCTTTCTGACAGCTCCTGGCTTCCCATCGGCATTGTGCCAGGGCCATGACTATCACATTTCAGCCTGTGCATTGCCTGCAACAGAGTGTAACTATTGCTTTATAATCAGTGGATTTCTTTTTCATAGCACCTGAGCAGAGTCCTGGGCAGGGGGAGGATGTGGAAAGCAGAGGATGAGAACCTCTGTTCTGGTGAAGTGGGAGCTACTCAATTCTGGTTAAACAGAACTGTGCTTATTTATAACAGCTACATTGCAGTCCAAGATCCACTGAACTTCTCCTCTCTGTTAATGCAGATCTTAAGGGGTTAAATATTGCTTCCCTTCAAGTCAGTGATAAAACTCTCTCTGGCAATAGTGGGAGTAAAATGACACTGAAAATATCTAATACTGTCTCTAAGAAAAGGTTTGGGTGGGAAGGATAATTGTTGATATTTTTTTTCTATGATATCTTATATTGAGTTATTACCAGAAATATTGCACTGTTACAAAATATTTCCCAAAGTCCTGTAATGAAACATAGCTGGAGATTTAAATAAAACAGATTAAAAGAGCTTAGAAGTTTTAACTAAGTTTGCCACTTTCCATTTTGGAAATGGCAAAAGGATCTTGGCATTTCAGAGCAATGTATAAATTTGTATCATAGTACTTACTATCAGGTTATGAACTGATTTGTTCCTCATACATAATTGACATCTAGAAACCTAGGACTAAAAGAGAAAATCTAGAAGCATTACTGACAAACTATGCAATATAAATTTGAGCTCTATATCTATAAAGACACAGAGGTAACTTCTAGCAGCACACACCCCTGTGTACCTAGTAATGATTCTACATCCCTAGGAGCTCCTTAAAAGAAACTACTTACTGAGTGGTGAGAGATGAGATTTCTTGATAATATTTGTTCTCTGTTAAGTTCATGAAGTATTAGACTTAGGTAAGGGTTTTAAACAATGTTTCTCAGGTATTTGAATTCACCTGAATTGCTTCAATGGTGCTGATACTACTTTGGTGTTTCATAGGGTCAATTTTACAGGGAAAAAATTTCATGTGAAGTAAGGGAATTTAAGATACTTTGAAAATACAAATAACCATAAGTGAACATCAGTATCAGGAACATGATTTCAAAATTATGTTTAATATGCCAAAAATCTCCACAGACCTACTTGAAATGATAGGAGATGCATTGGAACTAGCTATGAACTTCTTAAGAACTTCATTTCCTCCTAGGCCAGGACCATGACCTCCTCTCAGGTTGCTAGCGACAATCCCCTAGGACAAGGTCTCCATGTGATGTCATTCAGCATCCTAAAATGTTCATTTGAAAGCGTTTGGAACAATATTTCCCAATAATTATGAACAGAATATGTAGAAGAATAATCTCA